GTTAGAAGAGGTTCCACCAGTGGACCCGGAAAGCAGGCCACACCTACAGAAGAGCTTCCAAAAATGTTTGAAACCCACCACTGACAGTAATGCTGGCTCTGTAAACCCCTTAGAGAGGGCTGTAAAAGCACTGGAAAGTGGGGTGTAAGTCTAACTGTATTGCTATTATAGGGTCTGTTGCTTGAGTAGGGAGTTGGGCGAGAAAGCTCTCCAAGATCGCGTCCAGCTCTATTCTGAATTGGATTGATCTGGGGAGGTTTGGTGTGGTATGATTTGGCTTGAGGGCTTGCCTAGCCAAACGAAGCCTTCGGCACAAGTCTGGACCACCCATAGTTTCCTTCCCTACCCTCTTGAACCCAACTGGGAGAAAACAGGCCATCAATCTTGGCTGGCCAAACGCCAGTCACTTGCTCAACTTTTAGCGAATGCTTTCTCCGTAGCGAGGCGCCAGGCTGCAAAAATCAACCAGGCTGCAAAACCATCCGTAGGCCTGGTGCCTTGTTTATTTCATCTGAAGCCAGGAAATTAATTATCCTCCTTCCTTTATCAAAACAGTCAAAGTAGAAAAACAGAAATATCCACAGTGAACGGCCATCCAGCCCCTAAAAACAAACCAGGTCAATAATTTGCAAAGAGATTTAGAAGTTTAAAAATGTTGAGCCTGCTTCACAAGAGGGTGGGAGAATTAATATTTTTGCAATATATTGATCAATATTCAACTGGAGGGGGGGATCATGTAAGTTTACAGGCAGTCCTCGACTTACGACCACAATTGAGCCCTCCCCCCGTTTTTTTTTGTTGCTGCGCGCAAAACGTTTGTTAAGTGAGTTTTGCCCCATTTGACGACCTTCCTTGCCACGGTTGTTAAGAGAATCACTGCGGTCGTTAAGCAGGTGACACGGTTGTTAAGTGAAATCGGCTTCCCGGTTGGCTTTGCTTGTCGGAAGGCCGCATATCATGCAACCGTCATAAATGCGAGTCAGTTGCCAGCCGTCTGAATTTTGATCACGTGACCATGGGGAGCGCTACAACGGTCGTAAGTGTGAAACAACAGTCATCAGTCACCTTTTTCAGTGCTGGGGGGTAACTGAAACGGTCGCTAAATGAACTGTTGTAAGTCAAGGATTCCCTGTATATGGTTGTGCCTTTTTAAAAAAAAAAATACACATTTTTAATGTCTGGTTTATTTTTTTTGGCTTTTTGTAAAAATAATAATAATCCTTTTTTGGGGGGAAGTTTTGAATTTTAACTTTCTAAATAAAAATTAAAAAGATTGACTTCAGTATATTAAAAAAATGAACTTTCCTGATTTTTCTGACTCTGCCTGGCAGACACCTGTGAGGGGAAGAAGGCTTACCTTGCTGTATTGGGTATCTGAGCTCCAGAGGTAGGGACAAGGCCCCATGCAGAAATTGGCATAGTAGCCTTTAGGTTCGTAGATCCACTTCCATTTTAAATCTTTTCGGAAATCGATGTAGAAACGCCGTACGCAGCAATTCTTCGCTTCCGGGGATCTAGGAAAAAAGGAGCCCAAAAATAGCCTTAAGTCCTTTTGCTCTGAATTTGGGGAGCTCCAATTTTCTGAATGGAACGGAACGGAATGGAACAGAAATAATGGAATGGAATGGAACGGAACGGAACAGAATAGGAACAAGAACAAGAACAAGAGTAGAGTAGAATAGAGTGGAATGGAATGAAATAGAATAGAAATAATGTAATGTAGCGGAATGGAACAGAACAGAATAGAATAGGAACAGGAAGAAGAACAAGAGTGGAGTGGAGTGGAATGGAATGGAACGAAATAGAATAGAAATAATGTAATGTAGCGGAATGGAACAGAACAGAATAGAATAGGAACAGGAAGAAGAACAAGAGTGGAGTGGAGTGGAATGGAATGGAACGAAATAGAATAGAAATAATGTAATGTAGCGGAATGGAACAGAACAGAATAGAACAGAAATAATATTAGAATAGAATAGAAAATAGATAATAGATAATAGACTAGACTAGAGAGAAAATTAGATTAGAACAGAATAGAATAAAATAGAATAGAAAATAGATTGGAATGGAATAGAAAATGGAATGGAATGGAACGAAATAGAATAGAAATAATGTAATGTAGCGGAATGGAACAGAACAGAATAGAACAGAAATAATATTAGAATAGAATAGAAAATAGATAATAGATAATAGACTAGACTAGAGAGAAAATTAGATTAGAACAGAATAGAATAGAAAATAGAATGGAATGGAATAGAAAATGGAATGGAATGGAACGAAATAGAATAGAAATAATGTAATGTAGCGGAATGGAACAGAACAGAATAGAACAGAAATAATATTAGAATAGAATAGAATAAAATAGAATAGAAAATAGAATGGAATGGAATAGAAAATGGAATGGAATGGAACGAAATAGAATAGAAATAATGTAATGTAGCGGAATGGAACAGAACAGAATAGAACAGAAATAATATTAGAATAGAATAGAATAAAATAGAATAGAAAATGGAATGGAATGGAA